AATAAGTGGAATGTAGATCTAGTATTCGGAATCGCCCCATGAAATCCTATAAATTATTGGTCAGGTCCTGCTCACATTCTTTTGAGTGAATGTCTATAATTTGGCGATATCTGAGGATAAGATATTCTGATAATTTTAGACAAGTTTTTAACGGGGAGCATAGCTGATTGCTAACGGACACGTCCATAGGTAGAGAATAGTGGAGCGCCCAATAGATATATTAGAATAGTGGAGCAGTCGCGGACAGTCAGCAGATCTGGTGGGAGAGTCTCGATATAACTGGTTGTCCTCCATGAACTTCAGCCACACAGATGACGACTATCGCTCCAAGCAAGTCAAACTGAGTCTATTAGTATTTGAAGAGGACAGTTAAGACAACTAATTTGGGAAGATCTCAAATCCACCAGTTCCTTATTAGGCAGTAGCCGATAAAGCGAAACTACCGAGGCAGAGTGCTGTTAAGCGTAAGCTTCAACTTGTAACCGAGCTGGTTTTCTTAATTTGATTTTTGTAAGACTTATGTGTGGAACATATACTTGCAAAAATGCTGGGTAAAATGTAAAAATAGCAAATTTTTATTCATTCGACGACCTTAAAAAATTTCCGTGAGTTGCAAAAATCTTTAAGGCTTTTTTTTTTTTTTTTGAAACTTGAGTTAACCGAAACTGACTGGATGTAATAAAATTAATCATATTTGGCTTTGATTTTGAATGCTAACGTCATTTTGGATCAGTATGAAATTCAGGTTCGCCAATGAGTTGACTGTTTTTATAGGTTTTTGGCACATGGTCATTTTAAGGCTCAGCTTATGCCGCGGATTTAAAATTTACACTTTTATTTACACTTTTACATTGGAAAATTATGAAAAATTAAAAAAAAATTGATAAACAATAGACATAGGATTTGGGTTATAATTATTCATAGAGTGATTCTCACATATGTATATATTCATGTAACTTTGTCCAAAAATATGTTCACACACATTTTCTGTTTTTTGTCTTCTTTTGCTTCAATTTATGTCTTTCCAATCTCTTAACTTTTTTCCCCCAAAAGATAAACGTAGTTCCATTTGTTATGCTTTTACAAATTTTTGAATTTTCATTTAAATGTATTTTTTTAATTTTTGAGTTATTTGTTTTTATCCAAAAAGTTGATATGTAATTGTTTTTGTTCCTTTTTTATAGCCCTGCTTATGAATTATTTGATTAAAGTTTGTAAACAATTGCTGAATGAAATAAAAATAAATATACTATTTTTTTAGTTGTATTGTAGTGTTGTCTTTCATTTTCTTTTGTAGTTTGAATTGTAAGTTTGCAAAAACATTTGTCTATAGATTAGTAGTTTTTATTTGATTTGTAGTCCTGTATAATGTCTTGTATAATTTGGTAAATATGTATATATTTTATTGTTAAAAATAGCGTAAGTATGATCGTTAAGGTAATGCTTTTATATTTGAACAACATTGTTGAACGGTTTATATCAGTAATGACCAGCAAGAGAGTCGATAGACATTTAAATGAGATTTGGAATTTTGTTATAATAAGAATTTATGCGAAAATTATTCTGATTATTATTTATTGAATAAAAGTAAAAAATATCAGATGAAATTTTTTTAGATGAAATTTTATTGATATTTCAAAATTAGTTAGGCTCTAAACCAGTTTACTTTTAATAATATCAAAACAGACCTACTTTGTTAGGATAGGAAAAATATATATTGGAATGAAAGAAAGTTTAAATCAGATAAATAAGACTCATAACGTTCCCCCTAGAAAGGAAGAAACATCAGGTGTCTAATTTATTGTTTCCTTGAATAAGGGAAAAAAATAAATTCTAAACGAAGCTACTTTTTTACAAAAATTGCACCGATACCCCTATATATGGCTGCATGGGCTTGGCGAAAGAAGAAGACAAAAACAACATCTTTATTTGAATTGAGAGTATGATCCATGTAATTTAATGTTTGAAGATACATATACATAAATGTTGCCCGCGACTGCGCCTCAAATGGTCCATCTACTTAGCCCAATTTTGGCAGACTTTTTCCAACTCTTATACCGGGTTTTCGCGAATAAATGTTTCAATGACGTCTTTCAATGAGTCAAGCCGGCTCGTCTGCATAGACATGAGTTTTAACATAGCCCCACAAAATAGTCTAATCGCACAATCTAGGTGGCCATTTTGTGGGGCTATGTTAAAACTCATGTCTATGCAGACGAGCCGAACGTCAAATAAGATGATTATCGAACTAGGCTTTTAATAAGTCCATTATTAGGCGTACTGCATGGCATGCGGCTCCGGTCTTTAATTTTGGACAAAAAAGATGGATATCATCTCACAGTAGCGCTCATCATTCACAGTTACATTACGATTCGCGGCATGTTTAAACAAGTATGGTCTAATGATGCCATTTTGCCACACAAAACTGTGGCTTTTTCGGAATTCATTCATAGCATTTGCAATGCTTCTGCTTGCTCTTCATTCCAAAATTGACAATGTTGCTTTTTTACGTACCCATTGAGCCAAAAATTAGACTAGCTTAATGTGGAAGAAGCTCGCGATTAAGTTTATTGACGGAGTAGGCATTTTTATACTACAACTCAATGATTTGTAATCGCTGTTCATTTGTAAGACGATTAAAGGTTAAATTATAGACCAAACTGAAGATATTTGACACTGAAGCAAAACACGTGAGTGATGCTGTTTAAGGCAATGTTGCCAAAAAGTTAATAGCTAAAAAATTACCCTTTAGTCATATATAAAAGGTGATTTTTTGATATCGCCAAAAATATGGCTCATTGCACAAGGCCTAATTATGTCTCTTTGGGAATAATCCATTTCAGAGCAATTAGAGTCGATCCACGAATTTTCCCGAAGGAAGTCAGGATATACGCGGGTTGGGGGGTTCTGGTGGACCGTGCAATCTCCGAAATAACTACGTTATGCAAATTCTCGTGTATTTTACATGGAAACGTTAATTTTTCTAGATGACACCCAAAACGGTTCTGAAATGGATTTATGATTACGACATTAGAAAGGAGTATGCTATTTGTTTCTATCTTGGACATTGTAATATTTTTAGTAAACATAGATCGAGTTCTAAGCTTGGGACTAAAGTTCATTAAAATCATATATCTCATGTAAAGCGAAGAGCATTTCTATAAGGCAAAGACCAGGGCGTAGGTGGACGAAGTCGTTCTAGACCACCTAAACCTTTTCAAAAATTTTCTGAATAATCAATAATAATAACTTTTGGAAATGTGAAATCAGTATCCGATTTCCGCATATCCAAATATTTTTCTCAATATTAGATCTAGTCCAAATGATGGGATATACAGATTTTCTCCCTATGGAAAATAGTGGAGCCATTTATGAGATTAAATGGCAAGGGGAACATCCTTATTAGCCCAAAACTTTGATTATAATAATATTTTTTTATCATATTTATTTCAAGTTTGTTAACATTTAAAAGCATAGGCCGATTATTTTTTGAGAATTTCCAAAAATTGTCGTCAACGACCAGTTCTTTTATGTGAATTTTATGAGTAGGAACTTTGAAAAATCTACAATTTTACGATATCGTTATATGGAAGCCATTCCTGGACCTAAATTTAAAGAGGGATTCTATTTATTATGATTTCGAATTATTAAATCGCACTGACTTATAAACCTAATAATTGACTTATACTGTACAATTTTCCAAACGAATTTTCCAAAAAGACCTATGTTGAGCATTTTTTTCAGCATAAGGTTTTACATACTCTAACTGCCTTATAACATCGCATTTATGTGGAAATATCGAAAATCTGCATCCTTATATGGGGGCTACACCCAATCGTCTACACCTTAAATTTTGCTGTTTTCAACAGCTGAGGATTTTGTTTTAGTTAGAATTGATTGTTTATTTTGAATTTTCAAAGAAGATTTGAATTTGAAATTTGGTAAAGCATTGCATTTTTTGACATGTATGACCAAATCAATTGGTTTCACAATCTATTACGAAAAGTCGACTTTGCTACATGTACCATATTCGAATATAATAAAAAGAGGCGTTGAAATTCGACTTAAGTATCCTTATTTAGGGACTTTCACTTTTCACTTATGGCGTAGGTAATGAAGTACAACATAATAATCCATCAAACATTTGGGCGCCACATAAACCGAATTGCCCATTACTACGTTTTGTGAACAAACTACCTTTTCCATTACCAGTAGCATAGAAAAATATTCGATCCCGAATGAGAATCAACTACGCTTACATAAATTTTTACATTTTTTAACAGAAAATCCATGCCTGTTAACCATAAAGAAGCAAATATTTTAGATAGATATAAGATAATGCAGAATTTGCAAGACTACCATCTTATTTTTACTTTTTACTTCTTTAACGTTTCTGAAAAAAGCATTTCCCCCAGAGTGTATTTCAAAAAATTAAATATTCTACTGGCTTTGTCATTGAAAACATATGGAAAAAAAAATAATAACTTTATCATTACCCAATCATGAGTAACGACGACAGCACATGGTGTGCGTTCATTTCACATTAAACCCTTGTAAAATCGACCTATTAGATTTGTATGTAGTTACAACTTTCCTTAAATGGTCAGAAGGCGTTAGACAGTTCTTGTTTCCAGAGATATTACAATTTTGGTCGATTGTCGCCATTAAGTTTAAATAGGGGTAGCAACAAATTTAAACGGCAACCCTGCTTTGATTAGCACAACAAAAAAAGCTTGCCTTATACTAACTCCATTATACTAAATAAAGCTTCTGATGAACTTGGATAAAATTGTAAACAATGACTAACACCACATAAAAAGCTTGAACACAAAAAAATATATATTCTTTACAAACCATATTTTCCCGGTGAAAGCTTCTTCAATGTGCTCAGTCAGTTTACGAACAACACAAAGTTTTCATTTTAACCTAAAATTATACTTTTTAAAATTCAATGCTATAAAACATAATTAAAATTCACCTTCTTTTTGTTGTTCTTACAGAATATCCACCAATCCTGATACCGAGGTTGACATCAACAACGAAGAGGATGCGTAGCCATTACTCGGTGGCACCGCCGAAATGGAAGATTGCAGCAGCAGTAACAGCGATTCAAATGATGAAGATTTTCAAAATTTCCATCAAAACCAATACAGATGTGATGTTGAGGTCCATCCCATTTTCCATTCCAGCCATGGAGATGACAACGACCACTGCAGCGTTCTTAGCTAACATCAACTGAAATTGACACTCAGACAAATATTCCAATCAAAATTCGTAGAAAGACATAGTTTTTGTTTTTTTATTATTTGAAAATATCATTGTTGTATAGAAAGAAGATCTATGTAGATCGGAAATCATGTTAGGAATTTTCATATACACCAAAGTTAAAAAAAAAAAACAAACACAGACATACACACACACAGAAACAGCTCTCATGTAAACATAGAATAAATAAGAGTTAAATGTTAATCCTTAAGCCATTGGAGTCGGAGGTGGTGATGGTGTTGAATAAAGAAAAAATTGTAATTTTTATATATACTTATCAAAAGGTTCGAGTTTTAAAAATTGTACATTTGTTTTGAAAACCGCCCATTGACTTGAGGATTAATTTAATAAATACTTAAGTAGTCTAATTGAAAATTAGGGAAAAAATACAATGAATATAGCAAACGACTCCATGTTATTATTAAAAAAAGTATTTTGAAAATTTTGTTGAAAGTATTTGAAACATTTAGGATTTGAAAAGGATTTTGAAAAATTTGTAAAATGTTTTAAAAATGTTATCAGGAGAAAAAAAATTGAAAAAATTATAAAAAAAAGTATTTTTGAAAATTGTCTTAAAAAGTATTATTTGGCCATAATTTCATTTGAAATTTATATTTAAATTTATGCACATAAATGAAAACATTTTATTTTGTAAAAAATGAGTTTCTTTTGGGATGTAATCTAATGTTCCTGTTATTTGTTAATAATTAACAAAACAGCTGATTCTTTAATCAGCTGATCCTAACCAAATTACATTTCAAAGAAATGGATTTACTGCCACAAGTTACTTATTAAAATTATAATTTTTCAAAATCTTTTGGAGTCTATTGCATTATATTCATTGTTTTTTTTTGTTTCCTCATACCATTTTGTATTATAATTGGATCTATCGAAATGATCTTAAAATAATGCCTACAATTATATATTTTTTGTTATGAAATTATAATTGAAATGTGCAATATTCAATGGATCAATTTTTTAATAGCTAATGTACAAACAAGGCAAATGTTTTTTAAAAGTTTATCATATGTTTTTATTTTTTTCTAAAAAAAATGTTTATTTTTGCTCTCTGTTTATATTATGAGTATGTATACTTTTACAATATTTTTTTTTTCTTTTAACTTTCAATACTCTTCTCATTTTCCGAATATTGTTCTTCAATAAAATGCTGCATTATAATATTTTAAAAAATTGTTTTCTATAAAAAAAAAAACTTTTGATTTATTCCCACCATAAAGTTCTACAAAAACTCCTTATAGGAAATGGGTTTAGACGATAAATCGATAATTTAAATGAAAATTGACACTTGATTTTTATAAACAAGTAGAGGGCGCATGTACGGCCCAATCGAGCTTTTTTACTTTCTGTCATAGGAAAACCAATTAATTCAAATTCGTTGGCTTCAAAATACTTAAGATTTGGAATTTGCTATGAGCGATATTACAATTTAAAAAAGTAACAAGGAAAAAAGCAGCTAAGTTCCCCCACCATTTAGAAGGAACTTGTAAAAATTTAAAAAAAAGCCCGCATGGGGGCTATACGAAGACATGAACGAAATTTTTGAGCATATGCTGTAGAATCCGTTACGAACTTTGAGTACGAAATTTGAAACAATTCGGGTGAATGATGTCGTTAAAATCATCAAAATACCGAATATTCGGAGGTTCCGTTATATGGGGGCTATACGAAAACGTGAATCAACATGGCCCATTTACGAACTTAGCCAAACTTCTGGCAAAGTACACATATAAGCACCATAATTCGGTCTCCACCATTTGAAAAACACTTGCACAATGTAAAAAATTCCTCTTTAATTTTCTATGGGCTATACGACAACGTGGATCTCTACAGGCAATTATCTGCCAGAAAAGGTGATGCCTATTACGATCTCCAAGTTTGTGATAATTCTGTTGAAAAATGTAGCTAAAATCATCAAACTACCGAATATTGGGAGGTACCGTTATTTGGGGCCTTTATGAAGGCGTGGATCTGTGCCGGAAATTTTCTGGCATTGAAGCTAATACCCATCAAAAACTCCAAACAAGAAATTTGGAAAAAAATCCAGTGAAAATTGTGACACAAATCAACAACAACAAATCTATACCAAAATTTGGACCTATATGGACAGTTCTCTGAAAGGATGTTTCTTATACTCTGGGAACACATAATCCCGATTTGAAGTAAATTCGGTTTGTAATTGTGCCTGAAACACCCAAAAACCCGACATCTGTATCTACATTTGACAAATTTTACGAAGATTTCAAAATATCAAACTGCAATTGGAAAATTTGATCAGGACATTTTAAACAGCTAAATTATCTCTTAATAGGAATACGATATCCCAAATAAAAACCGATTTGTGGTTGAAACTTTCCAAATACAGAAATATAAGAATCGAATATTTAATCTATATTGGAAATATTTTGCAGGAAGGGTTAATCTCTTCTCTGAGATCCTGTAATTGCCAAATAAGAACTAAATTGGTCTGAATCTGCATCTGAAACCTGTAAAATATATTAAATGCAGACCGTCACCGGTCTATATAGTGAAGCTACAATGAAAAGTTTTTGCAAAGGGAGGACATACCTAGTAAACATCAAATAAAAACACTTGAAACTTGTAGCAGGAATCTGTAAAATCAGGATAGAACCATTAAATTGTGCCTACATCTAAACTTGAATCCATATAAACATCATAGGATTGCTATAAATGTACCCAGCATAAACAGCCATTACCAAGTAATGGCAGGCGTAACTAAATACAAATTATCCAATTAACCCATTATGTTTTAATTTAACCCATAATTTAATTCTATGGCCAAAAAGAGGCGACACATGAGTGGCAAAAATTGTCTGTGTTTTAAGAATGACAGTTTCCTTTTTACATGTCATAGTATTTTATTATATTTTTCCTTCGTTTGGTGATCCTGAATCACGAACTTTCAACCTTCGGATGCGTACACTCTGTACAAACGTCATTATTTTACTTGGTACGAAAGGTCAGGTATTTGACTTTTGGCTTTTTACAGGACTGACTCGTTACTATGTGACTTTTTTAATGCAAAATGTTTGTAGGTGTCATTCCAATGTAGTGTTGGAAGTGTCGCAAAAGTAATCTCCATATCAGAAAATGTCATAAATTTTACGATTATTTCGTAAAGTATTTATACAAGGTGGCGTAAAAGTAATCCTCCTATCAGAAAATGTTGCAAATTTTACGGTTGGCCTCTAATGTCTTAATTACAGCCAAAAAACATCGGAATGTCTGTCAAGTGCATATGAATGTACTTGATTTGCAAAATTTTCTGAATGTTTTTCGAGAACTTGTTACAATATTTGGACGTGAGAGGGAAATACATCTCTGTAAACTTGCTGAGTAATATCACACCTATTGTAAGAAAGAACTTGTCCCGCAAGAACTTAAAAACTCTCAGAAAAAGATTTGTCATAATTTATCTTTAGAGTCGCTCTCCTTTGCAGAGCTTTCTATTTTTCCAATTTCCAACAATTCTTACGAATTTGTGGTTAACCAGACAAACATAGTAAAGGCTGTGACAAAAAAGTTCCCCTATATTGAAGTTTGTATTCCTCTATTGTAGTTACCTATCGATTAATAAAACATCTGAAAACATTTAATCAAAACTGCTATGCGGTTAACTGAGTCTATAATCTGTTGTAACTTTTAATAATTTCTTATCAATAATAATTTTAAGTATAGATTTTATTTAAGTTTTTAAATTGTAATGGATATTTGAATATATAAAATAAACATGTATTTGTAAATAAACAGGAATCTATAAAAATAATGATTTTATTTTTTACATCTTAAACGAGATTAGCCCAGAGGGGCTCTGCGATGGGAGTCTAACGTCGAATAATAAAAAATATAAAAAAAACAAAAGATATTTAGAAATATTAAGATATAGCAAGTTGTAAAGCATCGCTGACTTGTTTCGAAAGTTATGACAGGTTAAAGTATTGAAAATAGTGGGTAACAGAAGAAATGGTCCGATCTCTACCATCTTTATAACAGATCTTGTGTTGATGAAAATACTGAAATGTACAAAGTCTGTATGGAATTAAATGTTAATTAGGCGTTTTATGAGTTTCATGAACATTCAAAATTTCGACACTTTTGTGGAGGAGGTACCAAAAGGAGTGGACCGATATATTCCATCTTTACACCAGATCTTGGATTAATAAAAAATATTATGATGTGTGTAATTTAAAGACAATCGGACACTTACATAACATTTGATAAAAGTTATAATTATTCAAAATTTTGAACCTTTTTGGGGAAGGTACTTGGTGGAGTGGACCGATATGGTCCATTTTCACACCAGACCTAGCACTGATTTTATTAAATATTAGGATAGGCAAAGTTGGAGTAAAATCGGACTACTCTTTCTCCTTCTCTCTTCTTTTTGGAAATGTTGAACTTTTGTGGGGGAGGTACCAAAAGGAATGGACCGATATTACCTATCTCCGAACTCGATCTAAATTTGATAATAATATTACGATGTAACAAGTTTGGACCACAGCACATACTCCCTTCGAGAGTGCGCACCAGCCAGCCAGACCGCGGACGGATATCGCTAGATTAACTCCAAATGTCCTGAAACGGATTTGGTATAAAGAGACCTAGGGCCTAAAACCGTAATTTCGATGAGGCATGTTTTGGCCGTATCAAATTATATATACCCTCTCTAGCCATATAGCTGAGGGTATAAAAAGATGTCTTAAATAACTCCTAAAGGAAATATTTTTAAGAAATGTTTAAAGGCACTGATGAGAATCCAAAAAAATAGATTTTCTCTGCCAGTTCTCTTTTCTGATTAATTCTAATAAATAAAAACAAGTAACTCTTCAATGATGTCTGAACAACAACTGAGAGTATGTTCAATGATCCAAAGTCATTGTTTTGTATTAAATACAAATTGTATTGAATTTATCTGGTGGCACGTTTCGATCTGGCGGAGTTGTTCTCGTAAACATTCATTTGAAAAAAAATAATATTTCCACGTGCAACAAAACGTAAACAGTTTAAAGCGATTGCAAATGGAAATATAAATCATAATTCAGCAATTAATAATGAATAACTTATATCATCTTATTATCTTTTATAATCATATATCAGGTCTTGAGTTATTCATTGATTAAATATTAAGCTTGGCGGAAATATATATGATCTATTACTCTTTCGTAGTACGACACAATTTCGTTCATTTCAAATAAATCTCCCTAACTCAATCCTAAAACAAAGAGTACAATTAAGAGAGAATTGCAATTCTTTGCAAATGAATTGATTATGAAAAACACGAACTCTATGTAAGAATGTGAGAAGAAAGTTTCGCCTTTTAAAATACATATTACACGGGAACTACAAGGCGCCCATTTAATGTGACTCAAAACCCTTTAGAATAAAAAAAACACAATGCACGTTTTGCAATCTTAACGGAAAACTAAGTGAATGCATTAATTTTCTATCTGAATTGGGTGGTTAAGCATTCCTTCGAAGTTAATAAGATTAATTTACTAATTCTTAATTGCACAGATTCAATCGGCTTTTTACACAACTACAACGGCGTAACAAAGTTACCCAGCTAAGCGAACTATTAGAGTTCAGAATGAGAATGGATCCAAGAGTTTACTAAAAGACAAGCCTACTAAAGGACAGCGAGAGATCAAAATGGTATCTTCTATTGTGGGGAATTGGCTGGAAAAGTGGATGCCAGAGAGAAGATTAAGCCTTAAGGCCGGATTAAGTCCAAGTACCATCATCTTGCTTGATACTGTATTGGGGGATCTTGGGCAGTATTAAAAAAAAAACTGGCAACATCATTAGATGCACTGAAACTAACCTAAAGGTGAAGGCAGCAAAAACTTGTTCTATGTATTCTCAACTTAAGTCCCATGCTAAACAGTCAGTTCAGTCTTGTGCTTATTGGAGACTGCCTTATAAGCATTCAAATCCGTACATGAAGCATCGTTCTTCTGGCTTTATTTATGATTTCCTTGTTACGGCTTCAATAGTAAATGTGATGGGTGTTAGTATCGCATCCAAATCATGCTCCGAAATGCTTGCTCGAATTCGAGTAGAGGGCGAAAATCGCTGGAATTCAGAGAAAAAAACTTTTGGGAGTGAAATTCTCCCGAAATCGAGCTGATTCTACTCTTATCGAGCTTCTTTTTATTTTTTGTCATACCGTTGTAGTATGTGTAGGAATGTGCATTTTACTTAATTAAGGAGACTTTTTAACTTGGGGGCTTCGACAGTGATAATAACGACAATAACTACCCAGAGTTGTATGTGATGTGGGAAGGTTGGGGTGATTCCTAAAGTAAAGTATCTATCTCCTACAGAGACGTTAAGCCAAATTTACTCCTGGAGTAAACGCTTACTCTATTTCGAGCATTTCGAATCCCATTACAGTTTTTAAAACAGAAGTCACCTGGAGTAAACTTTGTATAAAACTCACACTCTTTGGCAATACCCGTTCGGGAGTATTATTCACTCGTGAGTAAAATCGAAAAAAAGTGAGCTCTGGTATTAGAGTATTTGGAACAAACAGATGCTGAACTTTCTCCATTTATAGAGTGAAATTCGTGTACCATTGGAACAATGTGCGGAGCCAGACCATTAAAAAATAGGGCTTCTGAAATGTGATGATATTGGTGTTCAGATTCCATGGAAATACTACAGAGTTTTGCTAAAATTACCAGAAGTACAAAAAAAGAAGCTGTAAGTTTGGTCGGACAGAACTTTGAATACCCTCTACGATTTCGAACAAATTTGGCAATTCTGGCAAAATAAAATCTGTTAAAAAATGTCAAAGTCAAATGCGAAACTTGAAAAAAAAAATTAAATTGAATTTCAAATACCAAACATTTTCGGTGAATTCTGGGTGAGATGAAAAAACTGCAACCAACTTCAGACTGCTGTCATTTCTAAGCCACTCGAAGTCAAGGAAGAGGACGGAAGAAAACAGCAACATCCGCAGAAATAGTTCGAAAAGTAAAGAATCGATTTAATCGAAACCCGCGAAACGTCGCAATTGCCGAAAAATGGCTCATGAGCTGAACATATCCCAATATTCCATTCGGCAAATATTGAAAAATGAGCCATTGAAATTCCAAAAGTGCAAGAACTTACACCGCAACAGAAAGAAAATAGACTCAAAAGAGCTAAAGAGTTGCTTCGCTTGGCCGAAAGTGGTGAACTGCCGAATTTGGTTTTCTCCGATGAAGAAACATTAGTTGCCAGCAGTTTGTAAACAAACAAAATGATCGTGTTTACTTGCCAAATAGGTCAGCTGAATATGTGCACCTTCGATTGGCCACCAGAACTCAAGCGCCGGCCATGGTGATGGTGTGGGCCGCCATAACAGCCAATGGTCGATCTCCGCTCGTATTAACGCCGTATTAACCGTGGTATCAGAACAAATGCCGAATATTATCGCGAAAATATTCTGGAAGGTGTATTAAAGCCTTGGACACGCAAACATTTTGGCCGCAGACCTTGAACATTCCAATAGGACTTAGCAACATCGCACTCAGCACGCGCCATCCAAGAATGGTTACAAAATGAGATACTTCGCTTCATTTCCAGCGCACAATGGCCACCAAAATCTCCGGATACCAATCTGTTGGGCTAATGTGCCTGGAGTATTTTGGAAAGCAAAGTTGGCTCTAAATAATACCAAAGTGTCGATCACCTCAAGCAAGCGCTTCGCCGGGAATGGGCCAAAATACCGCAGAGCAACATTCTTTTATTGACCGTTTGAAGGCCATATTCGTGCCAAAGGTGATCAATTCGAACAAATCTAAACTTATTCTAATATTTGATGCTATTTCCGACATTTTTTGCTTTCATTCAATAAAATTCAAAAACAAAAAATGTAAAATTATGGCGTTTGGCTTTGTTGCATTTTTTATCTCGCTTAAATAACCAAAATACCGAAAATAGAGACCACTTTCAATACCAAAAGTCCTGCAGACATAACATCACTAAATCGACATAGAATTTTATGCTGATCAAGAATATATACTATGTGGGGTCTAAAATATATATTTTGAGGTTTTAAAACCAAAATGACAAACTTAATATACCCTCCATACTATGGTGGAGGATATAAAAATATGAAAAAAGCTATTGAAAAAAGCCAAAGTGTAAAGAAATATGTATTAAAACTGAATGTTTCTTTTGACATTTGTCCTATGTGTGACATTTGGTTTGCTGGGTAGCAAATTTACATAAGTACACATGAGCTTTACGAATTTAAAGCTTAATACCTGAAATCACTAAATACACATTTGAGTGTAGATTCCATGGACTTAAGCTCTTTTAATTCTCAACGCGGTAAAAATGCTCTCACATAACATCCGTCCACACTTAACTTAATAGGTTTTTAATTGACCTTTAAAAGTATAATTTATTAAGTAGAACATTTTAAGATTTCTATAAAAAGAAAGGAAGTTCTGAAACATTTTCAAGTTTATTTCGATCGTTAAACGGACAAAGAATAACTTTTAAAATATTACAAACTATAAGATAAAATACTAAAAAATAGAAAATGTATTTTAAAACATTGTTATCGATAAGTTTTGTTGTGTGTTTTATAGTCGGTTCAAATGCCGGAGATTTACGTGAGTGAAAATTTTAGGGAATTCCGAAAGGAAAACCGGCCGAGAGTTTCCCATTTTCCAACGATCATAATGACAGATCAGCATTGGCAAAATATCTCAAATTGTGACTAAAAATATTAAAAATATCCTGACAAAATTATTTTAGATGTAAACTAAAGCTTGAAATTATATGGAGGATGTTGGAGTTATATAGAAATTGGTTCAAAAGTCTAATTCGTTCGAAAAGACTTCAATAAATTCTGGTATAAATCATAGCCTACTTTCTCCTAAAAACGAGGACAAGTCATAAATAAGCTCAAAACTCTACTTTCGAATAGTGGCCGTTTAAAATTGGAAAGGTTATAAGTCGAGAAGTTGACCTCAAACAATCACTAAATTGAGAACATAGCTATAGAAGATGATGAATCACCAATTATATCGATAAACTTTATCATTTTTTCCAAATTTCAGCCTCCGACATAGCCAAATGCAAAATTGCCGACAACGAATGCGTTGGCAAAAAGACCATGGAAGTTCTGCAAAAATACTCCAATGGCAATCCCGACTTTGGTATGCCCAAAATATCCGGGTTACAACTGAAGAACATTACAGTGGCCCGAGCCTCTAACAAATCTCCGATACAGTTGAATTTTAAATTTATTCAATTAACCAGTCAGGGTCTTGAGGATTCAATAATCGTGAATACTTCGGGTTGGACAAAGTCTCCCAAGAATCTCGAAGCAAATCTCATATTGCCCAAGTTGGTTATCAATGGCGATTATGAAACAGATGGTCGCATTTTACTTCTGGCGCTCGATGGCAAAGGTACGGGGTATTTTGAAATGACCGACAATCAGGTGAACATCAAAGCCAAGGTGGTATTAGAAAAGCGTAGCGATGGTAAAAATTACATCAGGATTATAAAAATTAAGGCGGTTATGATACCGAAAAAGTAAGTTTTTACAGAATTTATTTCGGCACAAATCAAAATTTTATCTGTTGCAGGCTCTTTATCAAAATGGACAATTTGGTCAAAGGAAGCCCGGAATTGTCGAAAACCATTAACGATGTAATCAATGACAATTGGAGTGACGTGTGGCAGGAACTGGCCCCAGGTATTAACAATGCATTGGCTCAAATCATTGAGAGCTTAGCTGCACCTGTCTTTGATAAACTATCCTACGATGATTTCTATGTAGAATAATGTAGAAAGTAGCCGTTTAGTTTAGGTTTACTAAAGCCAAATAGTGTTCAGTGTTGAAATTGAGTTGTCAATATTTTGAATCGAATTTGTGAATATGTATTTCAAATAAAATGTTTAAATAAACTTATTGCTGTATAGAAAAGTTGACGATAACCACTTTATTGTATAGAAAAGTTGTCGGTAGCAACTTTTTTGTATAGAAAAGTTATCGATAACAACTTTTTTTGTATAGAAAGTTTGTCGATAACAACTTTTCTCTATAAAAAAATTTTCGACAACAACTTTTCTGCATAGAAAAGTTGTCGATAACAACTTTTCTTTATAGAAAAGTTGTCGATAACAACTATTCTCTATAGAAAAGATGTCGATAACAACTCTTCTCTATAAAAAGTTGTCGATAACAACTTTTCTCTATAGAAAAGTTGTCGATAACAAGTTTTTTTGTATAGACAATGTGTCGATAACAACTTTTCCGTATAAAAAGTGTATCGATAACAAAGTTTACGTATAGGAAAGTTGTCGATAACAACTTTTATGTATAGAAAAGTAGTCGACAACAACTTTTTTGTATAGAAAATTTGTCGATAACAACTTTTTTGTATAGAAAAGTTGTCGATAATAACTTTTTCTCTATAGAAAAGGTGTCGATAATAACTTTTTTGTATAGAAAAGATGTCGATAATAACTTTTTCTCTATAGAAAAGGTGTCGATAACAACTTTCCTCTATACTTTTCTCTTTAGAAAAGCTGTCGATAACAACTTTTCTCTATAGAAAAGATGACGATAACAACTCTTCTCTATAAAAAAGTTTTCGATAACAACTTTTCTCTACAGAAAAGTTGTCGATAACAAGTTTTTTTGTATAGACAATGTGTCGATAACAACTTTTCCGTATAAAAAGTGTATCGATAACAAAGTTTACGTATAGGAAAGTTGTCGATAACACCTTTTATGTATAGAAAAGTAGTCGATAACAACTTTTTTGTATAGAAAAGTTGTCGATAACAACTTTTCTTTATAGAAAAGTTGTCGATAACAACTTTTCTTTATAGAAAAGTTGTCGATAACAACTATTCTCTATAGAAAAGATGTCGATAACAACTCTTCTCTATAAAAAAGTTGTCGATAACAACTTTTCTCTACAGAAAAGTTGTCGATAACAAGTTTTTTTGCATAGACAATGTGTCGATAACAACTTTTCCGTATAAAAAGTGTATCGATAACAAAGTTTACGTATAGGAAAGTTGTCGATAACAACTTTTATGTATAGAAAAGTAGTCGATAACAACTTTTTTGTATAGAAAAGTTGTCGATAACAACTTTTTTGTATAGAAAAGTTGTCGATAATAACTTTTTTGTATAGAAAAGTTGTCGATAACTTTTTTGTATAGAAAAGTTGTCGATAATAACTTTTTTATATAGAAAAGTTGTCGATAACAACTTTGCTCTATAGAAAAGGTGTCGATAACAACTTTCCTCTATACTTTTCTCTTTAGAAAAGCTGTCGATAACAACTTTTCTGTATAGAAAAGTTGTCGATAACAACTTTTCTTTATAGAAAAGTTGTCGATAACAACTTTTCTTTATAGAAAAGTTGTCGATAACAACTTTTCTTTATAGAAAAGTTGCCGATAACAACTTTTCTTTATAGAAAAGTTGTCGATAACAACTTTTCTTTATAGAAAAGTTGTCGATAACAACTTTTCTTTATAGAAAAGTTGCCGATAACAAATTTTCTCTATAGAAAAGTTGCCGATAACAACTTTTCTCTATAGAAAAGTTGCCGATAACAACTTTTCTCTATAGAAAAGTTGCCGATAACAACTTTTCTCTATAGAAAAGTTGCCGATAACAACTTTTCTCTATAGAAAAGTTGCCGATAACAACTTTTCTCTATAGAAAAGTTGCCGATAACAACTTTTCTCTATAGAAAAGTTGCCGATAACAACTTTTCTCTATAGAAAAGTTGCCGATAACAACTTTTCTCTATAGAAAAGTTGCCGATAACAACTTTTCTCTATAGAAAAGTTGCCGATAACAACTTTTCTCTATAGAAAAGTTGCCGATAACAAATTTTCTCTATAGAAAAGTTACCGATAACAACTTTTCTCTATAGAAAAGTTACCGATAACAACTTTTCTCTATAGGCAAGTAGCCGATGACAACTTTTCTCTAGAGAAAAGCTGTCGATAACAACTTTTCTCTATAGAAAAGCTGTCGATAACAACATTTCTCTATAGAAAAGCTCTCGATAACAACTTTTCTCTATAGCAAAGTTGTCGAAAACAACTTTTCTCTATAGAAAAGTAGTCGATAACAATTTTACACACAATGTGTCGATAACAACTTTTCCGTATAGAAAAGTTGTCGATAACAAGTTTTCCGTATCGAAAAGATGTCGATAACAACTTTTCCATATAGAATTAATCTCCTTAATGAAAGATTATATCCTTCCAATCTTTCCTTAAATACCACTGTATCCCCATTTTTTTGGAAAAAAATTAAAATTTAAATTCGAAATAAAAACCGTGGAAATAATAAATGTCAGTGGCTTCGGAAAATAATCAAAACAAACTTTCGTGCAAAATAATGCACCTACATTAAACAAAAACAAGAAGAAGAAGACCACCAAAAAACAGGCGTTAAACCACAAACCCATTATTATGCAATAATGTCGGGCCAACATGAAGACCACTGCCGACCAACATTGATCGGTGGAAAATCATTGAAGTGTTACTTCCACACCAAATGGACGTGGCGACTCTGCTGCTGCCACTATCAGCACAGCGTTGATCCTACAGCGAAAACATAAAAATGGTATTACATTTCAACGGAAGCTCAAGTTCATTGTAAACTTGCGAACGGTAAACATGTCCATGAAACTATGGATCGCTCTGAGAATATGGATCGGTATCATGCAACAACTGGGCGTGGTGCAGAGTATAATTGTGGAACGAAATTTACACTCCTACTATCGTCTACCCATCTCGGCTGTGAGGCGTACTAACATGACCCAGGAATACTATATACTGCAGTGTCCGTTCAAGTCCTCATTGCAGATACCCAAACCCAAAGATATGGATATTTGTACAATTGCAGGCCGCTACAAGGACGAGGAGAAGGATAAGGGCGAGAAAATAAAACCGGTGGTAGAATTGACGGGTAGCACGGCGAAAAAGAATGGGCATAGCAAAGCTGAACACAGAAATCTCAAGGCCCCCAAGGAAGTGAAATGGATAAAAATTAAAAAGAGAAAACCCAAGAAAATTGTAATGCTAGTCAAGAAGCCGCCCAAAACGAAGGAGTACTACAAGCGACCGAAAACGGAAATAACCGAACAATACAAGGCCACTAATGTCCGACTGTATTTGGACCATCCAGCCTCGGCTTCGGAGGCTAAAATTACTGTAAATGGTAAGGCGGTGCAGGTGCATGATTCCCAAGCCTCCGGTTCGTCGATGATGAAGCCGAAAATGCTACCAAAACCACTGCAAAAACCAAGGATATCCACCGACAAATCAATGGAAAAGGAATACAGAGATAATTCCCAACCACAACAAAAGCAAACAAATTCCAAACAAATGGACATGGATTTCATAGATGACGACTCATCTGAATCACAGGAAAGAGATAAAGAAGATAGGAGGTCCTCTCCAAATAGTCCCTTGAAATATTTGGCAACCAAAAATGTCTTGAAAAAGTTACAACTGCCTCACAAAGGCAAACCTAATCGTCCTCTGGATAAATCGGAAAAATTCTACGCCCAATCAAAGAAATATAAAAAAGGTTTCAAAACGAAAGGCTATCAAAATATGTATCATCGCGATGAAATCTATCAGGACCACATCTACTATGATGATCTACAGGAAAGAGGCAAATATGATATTTATAAAAAAGCGAAAAAGAAATTTTGATTTGAAATAAAAAAAAAGTTTATTAAAAAAGAGAGAATGTTTTGAAATTTCCAATTTACAGGGTGAGATAAAAAAACAACAACAAAGTCAGACGCCATAATTTTTATTTATTTTTTTTAATTTTATCGAAAAAGGCAAAAATATCGGAAATAGCATCAAAACTTAGAATAAGTTTAGATTTTTTTCGAATACGAATTGGTCACTTTTGGCATGAATTATGGCCTTTAAACGGCCAATGAAACCGTCACACGCTGCCCGAATGTTGCTCTGCGGTATTTTGACCCATTCCCGGCGAAGCGCTTGATTGAGGTGATCGACACTTTGGTATTTTTTAGTGCCAACCTCGCTTTTCAAAATACTCCAGACACAATAGTCCAACGGATTGGTATCCGGATATTTTTGTGGCAATTGTGCACTGGAAATGAAGCGAGGAACCTCATTTTGTAACCATTCTTGGGTGGCACGTGCTGAGTGCGATGGTGCTGAGTCCTGTTAGAATGTCCAAGGTCTGCGGCCAAAATGTTTGCGTGCCCAAGGCTTTAATACACCCTCCAGAATATTTTCGCGATAATATTCGGCACTTATTCTGATGTTACGGTCGATTAATATGAGCGGAGAGCCACCATCGGCTGGCTGGCGCTTGAGTTCTGTTGGCCAATCGAAGGTGCACATTTTCAGCTGACCTCTTTCGCAAGTAAACACGATCATTTTGTCTGTTTACAAACTGCTGGACAACGAATGTTTTCTCATTGGAGAAAACCAAATTCGGCAGTTCACCACCTTAGGCCAAGCAATGCAACTCTTTAGCTCTTTTGAGTCTATTTTCTTTCTGTTGCGGTATAAGCTTTTGCACTTTTGGAAATTCAATGGCTTACCCCGAGCTCATTTTTCAATATTTGCCGAATGGAATATTGCGATATGTTCAGCCCACGAGACATTTTTTGGGCCACTGCGTCACGGATTTCGATCAAGTGGCTTCTTTAGTTATCGAACCATTTCTGCTGATGTTGTCGTTTTCTTCCGTCCACTTCCTTGGTAGCGTCGGGCTACGCTACCAGCATCACTGTAATGAACGATGGTACGAGACACAAAAGGTTTATTCACATTTAAATGCTGGAGTGCTCTAACGATAACCACTTGTGGTTTTCCAGCCAAATATAAAGAAATCACACTATGACGCTTGAATTCCATCACGAATAACTTTTATT